TCACGCCATAAAGGGTTGGTGGGATTTCAGCACGGGGACCTGGAGCAGAGCTCCACCAACCAGTGCTCTCCGTACGGCAGGATGGGAGCAGTCGCTGCCCCACAGGGAGCACTGCCGAAGAACCGAGAGCAGGGGGCCCGGCCTGCGCCAGCCGCGGCAAAGCGCGGTGGCGGATTTCAACCGGCTGTGGAAGATCAGCTCTGGCAACACCCGAGGGTGGTACTACTCCCAGCCGCAGCCGGACGCGTCGCAGGGGCCGCCGCTGGGCGCATGGACCACGGATGGGTACCCGCGAGACGACGCGAATCCTCCCCCCACGGTGTCACGCAGGCTCACGAACTGAGAGGTGCGCGCGGGGACTCTGCAGCACAGCCTCCTGCTTCCCGACCTCTGCCTCCGAGGCCCAAGACGACGGGCCGAGCTCAGGAACGGGGACGGCTCACGGGGCTGGGCAGTCTGCGAACGGGTCCTCGTCCCGAGTGTATCTGTTGCTTCTCCGTGTCTTCGCCGTCGTTTTCCAGACTGCAGTTTAGCTCTCATGGTCGGCATCGGTTCTGTCCTTGTCGTCATCTCCTCAATCGCAACCTCCTCTGTCTTCCCTCTTTGGTCCGCCTAGAAAGGGGTGGATCGAGTAATACAGCAACCCGTCCTTCCTGTGCTGCCCGTCTGCGCTATCCTCTCTTCTGCCTTCCCGCTGGCCTTCCCCTTCACACTCTTGTCCTCCAGCCCTTCACCTCCATGATATAATACCATCGGAGACTTCGGGCTGTTAGATGGATGAGCTCTCCCGCCCAGGCCGAGCACAAGGCTCGAGCCAATGGGCCGTAAAGTGCTAGCCTCTCCTTGCACTTGTGCTCACTTCGCCAAACCTCACCTCACCTCTTTACCTCCCGCCACCACCCACACCACACCTCACTTCGCTTCGCTACGCTTCGTCTCTTTTCGCTTCCCATCATCTTAACGCACCTGGCTTCATCCCTTCCCAGACCGCCCTTCCCAGCTTCCCTGGCTACCCCTCCCCCTCGACATTTTGTTGGCCTTCTACCTTGAGTCTGATTTCCTCTCTTTGAATTCCTATCCATGCTCTCCTTCTTGACCTGGCTGCCTGAGCGGGGCTACCGCGCGGTGCCCAGTGCCAGCCCAGGTTGCCGGCTACAGGCGGGGGTTTTCACACATAACAGGCCTGCTCTAGTGTGCGCTCGTTATAGTGAGACACCAGACTATATGATAGCAGGATTGTGGAAAGGGAGAGGAAAGCAGGGCGGGGGAGCGATGATGAGTGGTGAGGGGAAGTGGTGGGAGATGCTGAAGTAACGAAAGAGGAGGATCGAGGGAGACGAGACAGGGAAGATAGATGGTTGGATCGGCAGGGGAAGGCCAAGATGCAAGAGGGGAGGGAGGAGAGGGGAGGTGTGAGTTTTGTGGAGGGCGAAGTTTACACATTCACAGCCGTAAAGCGTCTCGCTTACTCCCACCAGCTCCCCGAGTCAGGAGTAACGACTTTAGACTCATCGCCAGGTGCGCCAAGTGCGCCATGGGCCTCGGGTGCACTCGCTGCGTCATGTGCGCCATGTGCGGCTTTTGTGCTAAACGCACCAGGCGCGCCAAGTTTGCCAGTGTGTCATTGAACGTTTGGGGCACACATCGGACACAGAGGCGTCCCTCGCCGTCCTTGTGAGAAGCTAGTGTTAAGTCGGGCCTGTCCCTCTACAGGAGGACTATTCAAAAGTAGTCCAAACATAGTCTGGGGACGATGTTTTTAGTTTTTTTGTTTTGAATATTGTTTGACTATTTTTTATGTTTCGTCCAAACTCCCCCTGTAGGAGGACACGCCCGACCCAAAGCTAGTGCCAGGCATCATGCTCGGTGTGCACCCGCTGTCCTTTTGTCAGGATGATGGGATGCCCAAAAGTATTTTTTGCCCCTGCGGGGCGTTCGCAGGACGCGCGGGGATGGCCCGCGGCAGGGTGCGAGGGGAGGGCGGTTGTGTGGGGCACCGTATCACACACGCCTCTGCACGGGGTCACGGCCAGGCAAGCATTCCGTCCGCTGGGCACGACAGGCGTTAGCGTGTGGTAGATTAGGAGGCGGTAGCGCCTTCGAACGCGCCCACTGAGGCTGTATGTGGAGCTCCCTACAGGGCGCGACACGTGTGAGCGGTGTGCCGAGCTGGGCGACGGCGGGAAGGGGACGAGTGAGGAGGATGAGGAGGAAGAGGATGAGGGGGAGGAGTGGGAAGGAGACGCGCGGCGCTGCGTATTCAAAGCGAGGTCCCAAGATCACGGGAGGGTTGTGGAGAAACATGCATACTAGATCAGTCGGAGCGTTCCTTGGGAGGTTTTGGACCACCTTGAGTCGTCTCGGGGGAGTCTTGAAGCCTCTTGGACACATGCTGGAGGCCATTGCGGGCGACGTTTCGTTGTATCGGAGGAGCTGGGAGGCCATCTGGACCAATTCGGGGCCACTTAGGTGGGTCTGGGAGCTTGTATGGATCCGATGGCCCCCCTGGCACCGTGAGCCGGGACCCCCCCAGGAAATCACAGGACCAGGTTCCCAGGGGACGGGTTCATGGAGGGGCAACTATTTCACAGGACGGGTAGCCCCCGAATGGTCGGCTATTTTTCTTGTTCATGGGTGCATCAGATGGGGTGGGGGCCTCGCGTGTTTACAAGGGAGCGGGACCCCTGGAGGGTGCAGGGGCACGGAAGGGGGGTCAAGGGAGGAGGAGGGAAGGGGTTGCGCCTGGGGTGGGCAGCTGCTGCCGCAGCGCTGTGCTCAGGCCTGCGGCGACGATATAGTGCCGCTTCGTGGCGAACCCACGCTCGGCGGCGCTCTCCGCGAGGCACCCCCGAGAGTGCACTTGTGGAGCTCGCATCTCTCAGAGCATGTCGAGCGTTGGCGCGTGGACGACCATGCCCGAGCTCAGGCAGGCTGGAGGAGGTAGCCGCTCGAGGCATGTAGCTTCGGCAGCGTCCTCGCGGTGCCGTGTCATGCCCCATGGCTCGTCCGCGAAGGTGCCGAGCAGCTTCCGACAGCGCATTCGCTCGGCCACCTCGTCTTCATGGGAAACATCTCCTCCTCCTCCTCCTCCTCCTCTTCCTCTGGCTGCTCCTTCTCTGGCTGCTCCTCCTCCTCTGGCTGCTCCCCCCCCTCCCTCATGCCAGGCCGAGTCTCCTGGACGACGCCCTGGGCGCCCCAGCTCCCGTGTCGACGCTGTCGGGGCCGCTCAGCGCGCTGCTCGACGAGAACGGTTTGCGGGCGGCCTGGGGCGGCGGCAATCGGTAGTACACCTTCCAGGAGCAGGAGGAGGACGAGGAGGAGGAGAACGAGGAGGAGGCGGAGGAGGAGGAGGACGAGGAGGAGGAGGAGGAATAGGAGGACTAGGAGGAATAAGATGATGGTGATGCTGCTGATGATGTTGATGATGATGATGATGATGATGATGACGCTGATGATGATGATGCCGATGCTGTTGCTGATGATGATGCTGATGTTGATGATGCTGATGCTGATGATGATGATGAGGCTGATGATGATGATAACGATGATGATGATGATGCTGACGCTGATGCTGCTGCTGATGATGACGATGATGCTGATGATGTTGTTGTTGATGATGTTGATGATGATGATGCTGATGACGACGATGGTGATGACGCTGCCGCTGATGATGGTGATGCTGACGATACTGATTATGATGATGGTGATGCTGATGATGATGATGCTGATGCGGATGCTGATGCTGATGCTGCTGCTGATGATGCTGCTGATGATGATGATGCTGATGATGCTGATGCTGCTGATGATGCTGATGATGATGCTGCTGATGATGATGCTGATGATGCCGCTGCTGATGATCATGCTGCGGATGATGACGATGATGATTATGATGATGATTAAGATGATGGTGATGATGGTGGTGGTGATGATGATGCTGATGCGGATGCTGATGCTGATGCTGATGATGATGCTGACGACGATGCTGATGATGATGATGGTGAGGATGCTGACGATCATGATGATGATGATGATGATGATGATGATGATGATGATGATGATGCTGATGCTGATGATTCTGATGATGATGCTGATGATGATGCTGATACTGATGCTGATGTTGATGATGATGATGGTGGTGGTGGTGATGATGATTATGATGATGTGATGATGCTGATGACGACGATGATGATGACGACGATGAAGATCACGACGTCGATGCTGATGATGATGATGATGATGACGGTGATGACGATGTTGATTATGATGATGATGCTGATGATGATGATGATGATGATGATGATGATGATGATGATGATGATGATGATGATGATGATGATGATGATGATGATGATGATGATGATGATGATGATGATGATGATGATGATGATGCTGATGATGATGATGATGATGATGATGATGATGATGATGATGATGATGATGATGATGATGATGATGATGCTGCTGCTGATGATGATGATATGATGATGATGATGATGATGATGATGATGATGATGATGATGATGATGATGCTGATGATGATGATGATGATGAGGGGAGGAGGAGGAGAGGAGGGAGGAGGAGGAGGGAGGAGGAGGAGGAGGAGGAGGAGGAGATGAGGAGGAGGAGAGGAGGAGTAGGAGAATGAGGAGGAGAAGGAGGAGGAGGTGGAGGAAAAGGAGGAGGAATAATACGAGGAATCTGAGGAGGAGGATGAAAACGAGGAGGAGGATGAGGAGCAGGAGGAGGAGGATGAGGAGGATGACGAGGCGGAAGAGCAGGAGGAGGAGGAGGATGAGGAGCAGGAGGAGGAGGAGGAGGAGGAGGAGGAGGAGGTGGACGAGGAGGACGAGGAGGAGGAGGGGGAGGAGGATGAGGAGGAGGAGGAGGAGGAGGAGGAGGAGGAGGAGGCGGAGTAGGAGAATGCTCCTTTCGAGTTTTTGCATTGTCTGGGTGTTCTGATGTGCTCGGACGTATTTTCGTCAGCGATTGTTTGGGCTATGGCTGTTTTTGGATTTCGCGGCGCTTTGTTGGCTAGGTTCCCCTAGGTTTCGTGGGGGAGGGCGAGGAGGATAGTGAAGAAGCAACTTTTAGGTTGTGTGCGGAAGGACGGGGGATGGGGAAGGGCGAGGGACATGGCGGAGCAGGCTCAGGAGGAGGGGGACGGCAAGGGAAGAGGATCGGATCGTGTCGGCTCTCCACGAAGGCAGGGCCATTCTCTGTCAGCCTGGCGGGTTCCGAACCTGTTTGGGCACGACAGTCTAGGGAGGAGGAGGATGATGATGAGGAGGAGGAGGAGGAGAAACAATGAGGATGATGTGAAGGAGAATGTGGAGGAGGAGGAGGAGGAGGAGGAGGAGTTGGAGGCGGACGAGGAGGAGGGTGTGCAGAGGTCGAGGGGAGGTAGGGTGGAGTGGGTGAGGAGGACGACCCGGAGGGGAGGATGATGATGCTGCTGATGATGATGTTGATGATGATGACGATGCTGCTGATGCTGATGGTGGTGGTGATGATGATGATGAGCATGATGATGACGATGATAATGATGCTGACGATGATGAGGATGACGACGATGAGTATGATGACGATGATGATGACGTTGGTGATGCTGATGCTGATGATGATCATGACTACGACGACGATGATGATGATGACGATGCTGCTGATGATGCTGATGATGGTGGTCATGCTGATGACGATGACGACGACGATGACGATGCTGGTGTTGACGACGATGATGTTGATGCTGATGCTTAGGATGCTGATGATGCGGATGCTGATGCTGACGATGCTGATGCTGATGATGCTGATGGTGATGAACATGATGATGACGATGATGATGCTGACGATGATGATGATGATGACGACGATGATGATGATGACGATGATGATGACGTTGGTGATACTGATGCTGATGATGATCGTGACTACGAGGATGATGATGATGATAATGATGATGACGATGCTGCTGATGATTCTGATGATGGTGATCATGCTGATGACGATGACGACGATAATGGCGATGCTGCTGCTGACGACGATGATCGTGATGCTGATGATGGTGATGATGATTAGGATGCTGATGATGCTGATGCTGATGCTGATGATGCTGATGATGCTGATGACGACGATGATGATGGTGATGCTGATGATGGTGGTGGTGGTGGTGACGATGATGATGCTGCTGACGATGACGATGATGATGATGCTGATGATGATGATGATGATGATGATGATGCTGATGACCGTAATGATGATGATGGTGGTGGTGGTGGTGCAGGTGTTGGTGACGATGATGATGACGATGCTGATGATGCTGCTGATGATGACGACGTCGACGATGACGATGACGATGACGATGCTGATGATGATGATGATGATGATGATGATGATGATGATGATGATGATGATGATGGTGATGATGATGATGATGATGATGATGATGATGATGATGATGACGATGCTGACGATGATGACGATGATGATACTTATGCTGATGACGATGATGTTGATGATGATGCTGATGATGATGATGTTGATGTTCATGCTCATGATGCTGATGCTGAGTATGATGATGATGATGCTGATGGTCATGCTGATGATGCTGATGATGACGATGGTAATGCTGATGCTGCAGATGCTGAGGATGCTGATGCTTCCGATGATGATACTGATGATGACGATGATGAGGCTGATGATGATGATGCTGATGCTGATGATGACGGTGATGATGATGATGATGATGATGATGATGATGATGATGATGATGATGATGATGCTGATGATGATGATGATGATGATGATGATGATGATGATGATGATGATGATGATGATGATGATGATGATGATGATGATGATGATGATGATGATGATGATGATGATGATGATGATGATGATGATGATGATGATGATGATGATGATGATGATGATGATGATGATGATGAAGATGATGATGATGCTGATGATCATGATGCTGATGCTGACGACGATGATGATGCTGATGTTGATGATGATGCTTATGCTGCTGATGATGATGATGCTGATGATGCTGTTGTTGTTGATGCTGCTCATGATGATGACGAGGATGCGGAGTAGGAGGAGATGGAGGAAGCGGAGGAGGATGATGAGGAGGAGTTAGGCAATATCTGTACATCTCATGTCCGTACGACGTCAAAAGGAGTAGTATCTCTTTGACTTCTCGCAGGGGTTGCCAGTTTGTTTGTAGGGGAGGGGTGGGTTGGGATGAGTCTGGGGTATGATTTTGAGGAGAGTGTGCACGAGGAGGGTGGGGGGGATTATGGTGAAGACGATGACGAGGAGGATGCGCAGCGGATGTTGAGATGGGGATCAGGGGATCATGATGTTGGAAAGGGGGGGGGGGTCCAAACTTCCTCCAAGAAACAGGAATGGTTGGGGGTTCCAGACCCCCACCCCCCTGGCGATTTTTTTCGGGGGGAGGGTCTAGAACCCCCCCTTGGCCTAGGAAAATGGTTCGAGGGGTTTAGAACCCTCCCCCCTCAACACGCAACGACGACGACGATGACGTCACCGCCGCCAGCAAACGACACGGACGACGACGACGACGACGATGCGACGACGACGACGACGACGACGATGACACCACGACGACGATGACGACAACAACGACGAGACGACGACGACGATGACGACGACGCTGACGATGACGACGACGACGACGACGACGACGAGACGACAACGACGACGACTAGACGCCGACGCCGACGCCGACGACGCCGACGCCGACGCCGACGTCGGCGGCGACGCCGACGCCGACGCCGACGGCAACGCCGACGCTGACGGTGGCGGCGACGACGACAACGACGATGACGACGACGACGACGACAACGACGACGGACGACGGACGACGGACGACAGACGACGACGGGACGACGACGCCGACGCCGACGCCGACGCCGATGACGACGACGACGTCGATGATGACGACGATGACGCCAGCGACGACGACGACGACGACGACCACGATCGAGCCCCAGTGGGATGCGATTGAAGCTGGGTCGAGCAAGCTGGATCGAGCCTTGATCGGAATCTGTCTTAGCTGGAGCAGCCCTAGGAGGATTTTGCTAAAGATGGACCGAGCCCTCTCAGGATTTATTTCATCGCTTCGCTCATTCCGCTGGCCCATATTGTGCGCTTTGGAAGCCTTTTTGGGCTTCCTGGGGCCTCTTCGGGCGCAAGGCTCAACTCGTCGGTTCATATTCCCCCTCTTGGGCCCGTCTTGG